TCCGTAAGCGGGAATTTGGATCTTAAAATTTCGCTGTAAAAATGCGAATTGTCGCTCACGTATAACGTTATAACTTCGTTGCAACTGATCATTATGAAAAATTCTGAAACACGTGTTTAATTATGTATGTAATTACTAGTAATTAGCATATGTGCAAACCAAAGTGTGGATCCACAAAGTGGACTGTGGTGTGGAAAGTGGACAAGATTTTTTTGTGGTTTGTGGAATTGTGGATTGTAGTTTGTGGACAGGTTTGTGGTTTGTGGAATTGTGGATTGTAGTTTGTGGAAGGGTTTGTGGTTTGTGGAATTGTGGATTGTAGTTTGTGGAAAGGTTTGTGGTTTGTGGATTTGTGGATTGTAGTTGGTGGATTGGTTTGTGGATTGTGGTTTTGTGGATTGTGGTGAGATGAAATGAACAGCTATGTTTACAAGGCAGCTATCAAATTCTCTTCCTTCATGACAGTATCGCATAGTATTACAGTATTACAGACATAACGTTATGCAAGTTTTCACTTGCATAACTTGCATTTTTTATCTTTATGCTTGAAAGCATAGAAATAAAGGGTGATAATTAAGGACTTTTATATAATGCAAAAAAAGTTTTATTGTATTTGTATTTGCGGAATAAGTGTTACCAATAAATACTTTCAATTATTTAGCTTACATAAGTGTACTCTAAGAAAAATCTGGCAACTAGATAGGTCATTACAGTGACTATACATATATACACATACATATATTTACATATGCACCCTTAACAATCTGGTAAAGTCACGCAGGTAATGATTTCTCGGTAATAAATTTGGTAATAATATTTTACCAGGTAGTAAAAATTCGTTACCATGATGGTAAAACTTTATTACTACGACATTACCACAAGTACAACTTATCATTAACACTTTGGTAGAGTCATATACTTGTGCTTTTCGGTAATGTTTATTACCAGATTATTTACAGTGTGTTATTGAATTAGTTAATTGCCAATAATATTGATTTAAGGAAATCGTGATGTGAACTTTCAAAATGAACCTAAATGCATCTGTATATATGTATGTATCTTATCCGCTACAATTTTATAATCTGTCAAATTTATCACTAGAATTGAAACCTGAAAGTTAATACGTACAAACCTACTTTATGCACTATACGAAAGCGTACATGAAAGCATATACATAAGTTTATTTCTGATTACACAAATAATTTGTACAGTCCGATTGGACGTTATTGATACTCGAATAAAACCGAAGTTATGGGATATTCCAACATTTCGAGAGAGCTAAATTCTTCAGTAAGAGTTTAAATATTTTTATTACCGATATACAAATATGTATGTATACATAAATACTCCTTCAAAACGTTAAAATATTGATTACTCACTTCTCCTAATTTTGCTTATGTATAATGTTTTTGCAATCTTAATTTCCCATTTCTTTTGAAACTCTAAAGCTATAAGTTAGCTTTATCTAAATAATAAATCAGATTACTTCTAGATGTATGTATTGAAACTTAACTCCATGCGGAACAGAGCTTAACTTTTTAGTAGTAAAGTTCCTTTAATTGGTAATTTCCTACTTTTTATCCGTTCTACTTTACCTAGAACAACTTTACCTACATATATGAACGTTGGGCAGATTCACCTCAACAACATTTCACAGATTAAACAAAGCCATACATACAAATTTCGAAATTTTGAAAAATTGAAAACATTTAAAGAAATACACTCTTCCAGTCTAAAACTTACTCCCAAAATGTCAACAGATCTACTTTGGCAAGCATTTTCTTACCATGCCCGTTATTTCCCGTCTGGGGGGATATTCCCCATCGGGCTAAATCCCACAAAGAGAGTTATGTACTGCAACGGGGGAAGAAAAGTGTGGATTTCTGTGGCCACGATTCTCACCGCTTTCTCCAATTTCGTCCTTGTGCCGGCGTATCTGTTAACTTTTCGAGCCTTTCCACCCCCAGGGGACAACTATTCAGTGACTCTGTTGCACGTCGCGTTTGGAATAATAGTCCACTCGTTTACCATCGTTATTTATATTTTCATTTGGTTGTATCATTCCGATACGGTGAAAGGGTTCAACAATATTGTGGGGATGGAAGCTGTGGTGAAATCTGGTAAGTTATTAATGAACACTTTTCAATAAAAGAGGTGGATGTTAATTCAATTTATTACGTTTTGCAATAATTATCGGCACATGTAAATATGTTGTGGGTGAACACGTCTACTTTTAGAAAGTTAATAGGTCATTAGGTAAATTTTTAGGGGTAAAAAACAATTTAAGAATTTGGATAAAAATTTCAATCGAGGTACATTTAAACAAATTAAGGGGCAAAATGCATAATTTTAGGGGGTCGTTTCGTTAATTACATAAATCCTAATATGTAAATATGTTCCATTTTCAGAATTTTTCTCCTCCTCCAAACGTCTCAAAGATGCGAAAATTCACTCCGATCTTCCTGGCCAACTGATCAGCAAGTTTGTCCTCTTCACGTCCGGATTTCAATATGTTGCTGCTTTATTTGTCGTCTTGACTAATGTCGACCCTTTGTACTTCCTTCTTACCAATTTTTTTCCAGGGGACACTCCACTTTCCTTGATTTCCTACGTGATCCGAATTCCCGTCGTGATCTTGTCATCGTTTGAATTTGTCCGGATCGTCACCCTTCTCCTGATGTATTTTACCATCCAGCTCCAAGTCATTTCCAGCGTGGTGGACCAGTTTCATTCAATTAGGGGGAGGATGATACTACCCTGGGGGAACGTGCGACTCCGAGCGCTCTATGTCGGGTTAGGAATCGCTATCGAATTTTCGTCCGGAGTTCAAGGACCGACCACAGCGGCGCTGATGGCGCTTTCTCAAATGCTGGCGGCTATCTGCATAATAGCTACGATCCGAATGCGGGGCGTAATTCCGATGCCGCTTTATCTCATATTTCCCACGATTGCCGTTTTCGTCCCGATCCTTGTGCTCATGTTGTTGCCCAGAGCGTCCAATTGTTATGATAAGAGTGTCATATTGCTCCTAAGCTGGAGAGACGTTACATCGTGGGATTGTGCAAGAAAAGGCGGGATGTGTGAATCTAGAGCTAGGAAGAAGGCGACAGGAGCCTTGAGACCTTACCGAGTTTACGCGAGCATGGCTGGCGTGAAGTTGTACATGATGAAGAGGTCGACAAAAGCGACGTTCCTGCATTCATGCATGGACGCCACGGTGACGGGATTTTTTACGTTTCAGTAATTTTTTTATCATAAATGATTCAGGATGGGAAACGCATTTCTTCGTATGTACGTTTTTCGTTAATTGTTAAAAAGACAAACCCTTTCCGGGCTATTTTCTGGGGTTGTATGTACATATTGTAACGAGCTTGGGTATTGACATGTGCATATCTAGGACATTACAAAATCATTGCATTTTCTTAATTCTGTAATTCTGTACCTTGCAAAACGGATTTCGTCGATTTGAAGTACGTATTTAGTAGCGCATGCAATACTTCAAATGCAAATTACAGCGTTAACAACGCTGTGAGCATTGCATATAGATATGTAATACTCACACTAGCATGCTTATGTACATAAGTTACCGTGTATATTTTCGTCCAATTTATCAGTCCTACATATGCTACATGTAAAGTACGTATTTAGTAAATACTGTTTATATACATACCTAGCTAATTACACAAAGATGAAAATTATAAAGTACTTAACCTGGGCATTGATAACCGCATACATAAATTCTGATGACCATTTTGCATTGAATAAATATTTATATTCAAATGTGTAGGGGAACGATTAGTTTTCAACGTACATTAATTTTCATAATGAATCTAGTACTCATCTGTAAATATGCATTTATGCTTGTGCACATTACGTAAATGTATTCCACACAAATCTCTTTACTCTATTTTCACGGTACAATCCGACCACCAGTGTGTGCATATTTATATGTATTTTCCTCTCGTTTCGACGGGAAATGGATGAGAACTAATGAGAAGTGGATCTTACTTCTAACAATGCTCCAGGTAACAGGGTTGCTGATATATAGTTGATTTTATTTTTTTGTTTTTTGTTGAACATCGTAACCTGTTTTTTTCCTCAGAAGTCAGAGGGAATGCGCACTTGGATTTTATCCGGAGATCTTGAAGTTTTTTAATACGAGACGATATGTGGTATGCCATATGTTGCGGATACCCGTAGTTATATGTAAAAATGATTATAAAGTACATATGTTAATAAAATGTGCATGAAAATTTCATTATTTTGTTTTATTGAATTGGATATTTGTGAATAACAAATTTTTGTTAATTACATGCGAAAAGTTTTGTATGTAAATGGTTTTTGATCCGAGCATAACTTATTTTCTGAACAGGGGCGAATATTACTTGTTGTATTTATGGTACATACATAATGAGTGTGCACGTGATGCATATGTAACAACTGATTCGAAGGTAATGCTGAGAAATGGATTTTGCTGAACAATACAGATTTTTAAGAACCCTGCATGATAAGAACACATATCTAGCTTATGTATTCAGTATTCAGTCTGTGGAACCAAATACAAGCGCATACATATGTGTATGAATACCCGAGCAAAACAGTCCAACTGGTACATATATGTAAGATCCAGTGGGAAAATGTTTATGAAAGTGGAAACAATCCAGATATCCGGAACCTTTATGAAAATACGGGTTCCCATGTCAAAATTCCCATATGAACTATGTGTAAACTCATGTCACTACCTATTTTTTCCTACTGGTGCATTTTCTATATTCATATAGGTGCGTCATCGTCACTCCCATTGGCAAATGAAATTTATTCCCACTTGTTTTTCTATTAAATTCTTACTAAAACAATTAAGAAAATTCAATTGTATGACTTACAGATATATGTATGTACCATTTATTCGACAGATTGAATTATAAAGAAATTAGCGTATAAACAAGTAGAAACATTAGTACAAGTTAAGTATTAATTACTTTGCTCGTGAAAGTTTTTTCCTAGCATCACCAGGGATGTTTTTTAGTTTTTGCTCAAACAGAATGAACTCAACTGAATTTGGTTTGAGTCCGCAAGTCCTAATAGTAAATTCTAATGCATAATAAAAAACAAAATTAATTCAACATTTCGAGATGTCTTTCTGAAGGTATTAAAAATCAAGATTCGTACCTTTTAAAGCTCCAAATCTAACAGGATCCATTGCACATCGCTGAGTTGCTGGAAATAGTGGAGATACTTTTCCAGTCAAAGAAGAAGAAGCAATTTCTTCCAACGTGAAAATTCCTCCCTCGAACAACAGCTTTCGCTATACGGAAGGTCGGTTGATGTAACTGATCTTCGATAATTCGATCAATGAACGGTTTAAGAAAATCCCATCCGCAATTTCAATAACCTCGTCTACCCCTTCAGGTTGTGGTGTTGACGATGCTCGCTTGACAATTCCTTCCCTAATTTAATAACCACAATATATAATATGAAAGGCCAATAGATAAATTATGCAAAAATTACATACTCTTTAAGGATGCCACGTGTTTCTTTAACTCAAAATTCTCCTTTAGAAGAAGAGCAATTTGTTGGTCCTTCAGTAAATTTGTTCTTCTTTCCTCAAGGCTACTGACTTCAACCTCCTCGTCGTTGTTGTTGGACAGTGATTCCTAGGGAGCAATAAGTTAATTAAATTCATAATTTTTACTTAAAACGCCACAGCATGTTCCTCATTTACCTCTCTATTGATGGCAGCTTCAGACGTCCCGGAACCTGGAGCAAGAATCAGGCTATGCTGCTCCTCTTCGCCTTCAGAGTTTTGACGATTTCTTTTTCGTGACCGGGTGCCGTTCCCCTTGTTCTTGTCTTGCTCCACACTTGCTGCCAGATTGTCACTTTTTTCCAAGAACGATTTGTTTGCCGCCTCCTCTGCCAAAGTATTCTGCATATTCTTCATCTGATTCTTGGGCCCTGAAATTGAATTAGCAAGGGTATTAAATGCTTATTATGAAGTATTCAAAGTTTACTTTCCGATAACTACATACAAGTTAAGAAATGCGCTTACCAATACCCATCACTACACCTTCGAGTACTTGCTTATCGACTCGTACATTAACTGTACTGTGGATCACCTGATCGACGGTCTTCTCCCCAAGCTCCACGTTCTTAAGAGATACGAGTGAGTACGAATTTTCTTCTACCCAATGAATGACGACAAAACTTTTCATTTTCAGAAATTTTCATACAAGGGCTAATAATTAAAAATAAAAATGGTGTAACCGTCACGTTGGAATTTGTGAATCAAAAGATGTATGTTGTTCCCACCGACATTTGCCGCCCCACGTGTCTCAATTGGCCCCGTCCGGCAACACTACAGCCGGTGCCCAGTACTCTCCAGTTTCTCGTAATACTTTTAAAAGTAACTATTTTTAATGAGTAGATCAAATATAAAAATTATGAATACCTTCAAACACACATTCACCAAAATTAAGAGAAGGCAGGAGATTTCCAGGAAAGTCAGTTGTTCGTTGTTTAAAAAGGTAAGCCAATAATGAAAAGCATCATAATATTCTTCACTTTTTATTCATCGAAATTATAATAATTTTGACGTACTTGACTAGATATCATCGGAGCATGGAAAGCGACGAAAAATGAATGATGTATTCACTGATTCGTCTGAGTCAGAAGAAGGAATAATAGAAGAAAGGGTTTACACCAGTGAACACAAAGAAGGTGTCAGGAATTGGTGCAATTTTTATATTTTTGACGCACTTTATTGATTTATTTAAAACTGCAGACTCAATGCATCCGGAACTACCTAAGTGGGACCTGTCGAGCGTTAGTGGAAGCGAGGTCAGCCTGGAAGATTTCAACTTCTCCGATTTTAATGATGACGAAGGAAGCAAATGCCCGGTATTTTAGTCAACTTAAATAATAATTATACGCCGTGTTGAAATTCATGTCATAAATCGTCAACTGCTTTTTCAGGTTGCTGACCCAATTCACCCCTTTTCTTCAATTTCAAAAGAGGAAACTGTCGCAGCCGTCGTCCAACTTTCTCTTGCACATAATTTGACCAAAGCCGCGACGGCTGATATCGTCAAACTAATTGCTTGCCACGTTCCTCATGGTGCTGACTATCCGTCGTCGTTTTATCGCTTAAAAAAGGAAGCGTCACTTGAGCAAAACTGGACAAAACGGCACTACTTCTGCGTTCAATGTCAAGAAATTTTAGATTGTTACGACCGTTGCCAGATTTGTAATACCATATATACTAGAAAAAAGCTCAAAAAATTAGGGCATTATTTTATTGTTATGGATCTTCGCAAGCAGTTTTTAACGTTGCTAGAAAATAGTCAGATTAAAGGTTTGATTATTAGTTCCGCACATAATTTATCACTAGATACCGATTATAATAGTATCAAATCAGGATTCGACTACATGAAATTGTCCAAATCGCCCTACGATCTTACATGCACATTTAATATAGATGGGGTTCCGGTTTTTAATAGCAGCAATTCGTCTTTATGGCCTGTTCAAATATCGATAAACGAGCTTCCATTTAGGGTTAGGAAGAAGAACATTCTTCTTGCAGGAATTTGGTTTGGACAGTCAAAACCAAATATGAAATTATTTCTTCCAGCTGTCATTGATGAAATGAACTCTTTAAGTAAAGTTCCGTTAATTTGGAGTTCACATGAAGGGATTAGAATTGTTAGTAAGGTATTTTTCCCTTTGTGCTCGGTTGATTCTGTAGCTAGATGCATGCTACAAGGTCACACGCAGTTTAATGGGAAGTATGGCTGCAATTGGTGTCGAAATCCAGGTAAAACTATTCCGCAAGGCAAAGGTCACTGTCGTGCTTATTTACCTAGTTCAACTTCATATAAAGAGCGAACGCCAGAATCATATCGGCGTTTAGCAGAAACAGGGAAATTTAAAAAGGGTATTAAATTTTATAGCCCATTATTAAATTTAGAACAATTTGATATTGTACACGGATTTAGTGTTGATTGCATGCATTGCGTCTTCCTAGGTGTCATTCGTAGCTTGACCAACAAATGGTTAAAAGGCATTGGCAAAGCTTGGTCAATTGGCATGCACATAGATAAAATTGACGAAATTTTGTGCAGATTTAAGTCGCCATCAGAAGTCGTCCGCACTTGCAGATCTATTATGGCTCGAACACATTGGAAGGCATCAGAATGGCGAACCTGGTTATTTCTGGTCCCAGTGATATTAAAAAATATCTTATCCGAACCTTACTTAGCTCACATTTCATGTCTCAGCCGAGCTATATTCATTTCCTCTAAACAGTCTTTCACTTCAATTGAGTTAGACGAAAGTGAGAATTGCATTTTGCAGTTTTTACGAGACGGTCTAGCATTGTACGGAGAAACATTTTATAGTTTTAATGTTCATCAATTGGAACACCTTAGTAACACTGTCCGGCGATGGGGACCTTTGTGGAATAGTTCTGCTTTTCAATTCGAATCGTTTAATGGAAAACTACTAAATTATGTCAAAAGTGCAACAGGTGTTTTATGTCAAGTGTGTGAGAAATTTGCTAATGAACTTCAAGTCAATAATTTGCTAACAAAAACTAGTAACAATATTTGTTTTGGGGTCAAGTCAGGCGCTTTGCAAAAAAATTTGCATGAAATTAAAAATCCGAAGTCGGTTGCATCGTGTAATTTTTTTGAGAACATGATACCCCAAGGGCATACGTTTTTTAGCTTAAGTAAAAGTAAACGAGCAATAATTAATTACTATTCGTTTTCTACTAAATTTACATCAAAACGTTGCGATAATCTCATATTCCTTCGCGCAGGCGTGCTGGGTAGGATGCAAGCTTTCTTTAAAGTAACAAGTCGACTTGATGAAATCATTTCTGAGAATTATTTCGTACAAGTGTCAAGCTTTAAAGTGACAGAATTGGTTGGGCTCCCGCATATCTACAAATGCAAACGCAATGTTAAGTCAACCTTCGAAATAATGAATTTTAACGAAATTGTACCGAGAAAATATTTTAGTTGTGTTATAAATAACGAATATTTTTATATTGAAGTCCCTAATTTGTTCGAAGTAGATTAATCACAAGAATAAATTTACTTAAAGTTGTTAACAAAATAATAATTTTCATGAAATTATATACAAGAGTTTTGATTTTCAGATACGTACATATATATGCACAAAATCATATTTACTCATTGGTTAATTTCCGATAAGAATAAATACACTAAGTTTCCAATTCGAAATGGAATTTTCGTTGGCATATTTGAAAAAAAATTGTGGATCCCATAGGTAGCAGTGGGAAACCATAGGGGGAAATTTGTCAAATAGGATCCTTCGCTCGAATTTTCCTATTGGACAATTCCTATATGGAAAAAGCGTAGGTTCCAGTTGGCACTAGTAGGTTCATGTGTGGCATTAATAGGCAGATGGGAACCTACGCTGTATTTTTGCTGGGGTATGTATACTTGTTGTACAAGGGGCTATTCACATACTCTGTCGTCAGACATGACTGGAAAAATACTCTGTACTCCTACGTTTCTAATGTTATATTCAAGCTAGGAATTATCAACAAAAAGGATGAATTAATGGCACATTATGTATGTGCCTGACCCCGACGACGCCCAAACAACTTTTTGCTGCATAAACATTTCGCACACTCGTCTCCCTCACCTTCAAAGTTTTATAACTTACCTGTCGTACAAAATTTACTATTTCTACAATACATTCACTTGGTGACTGACCATTCCAGAAGGATGTAGTCCTTCATTTATCACCCATGGAAATTTCCTTCGCATTATAATGTCTAAATTTATCATTAAAACACAAGCACTTAGGATACATAGGATAATATTTGCCAACAAGAGTCTTTTAAGGCAGAATTTTGTCATAGTTTAAATTATTTCATCGTATACTTCAAGCGGAAATGTGAGGGCAACGTTATTAAGTATTTCATCCAAGAGGTAAGCACTTCATGAACATTATTTTGCCTCATCGATTAATGAATACATACTAATTTATGATACCGAGTCCTTTGGAAATTACAGCAGTACATAAATTATGTAGTTAACCAACTCTGCAATGTACATAAATGATGTCCTGGATTTATGTAAGTACTCTCGGTAATGTAAAAACTTTTCTCTAAATATTTGCGTAGCTTTGTTTTATATTTCGACTTTTTACAATGTCATTTATGTACGTACTAAGGGAAGGAGTGAATTGCTTTACATCTTGCTTGCACGGCCAGTGACATTTGTTTCTAGATATGCAGCAAAGTTAAATTTTCTTTATTCGACAGATTCAATTAACCTCGCCTGCGCCGCCTGCCTTAGGCGAAGATGGATACTTCCACTCATCTAAATATACATATATGTAAATACATACGTAGAAAACATGAAAATTATTCACATCATCAGTTCTATAATATCACCTTCGCCCTCCATAATTCTTCTGGCGTATCGTCTTTCTACCATCAAAATTTTATCTCAAGTAGAAACAAGTAACCTCCCATCTCTGGTTTTAGACTAATTTCATGTGTCTGATACAAAATTAAGATTAACTCTGTATGTATTTGCATCCATACCGATTTATACCAAAATCTTACCCGGTTAGTAGAAAATCAGCTTCTATTATTTCAATCGATCTAATCAATTCCCCCAATTCTCAAAAAGTTAAGCATAATTGAAGTGAGAGTTGAGAGTTCTTATCCTTATTTTTGTAATTGCTATTTTAATCTAATGAAACGTAGGTACTAGTTTGGTAAATACTAGTTTTTTAACCTACAGAATGATTTTAAACTTCATCCGTGTTGTTAGATCGAGCCCAGTCTAGCAATAACATCACGCTTTCGTTACTGTTTTTTATGGAATAATTATTATGCAATCAATGATTACCTGTCCACGGATTATTTCTTTAACTTTAAGAATCAATTCAGCTGCATTTTATTTAGGCACGCTTAATTTACTGGTGGAAAAACTCATGAAGGATGCTTACAATATGTACCGTAGAATGAGAGTTGTACACATATTCCAATAATGGTATAGGTGGTGTTTTGCTTTCCAAACTTACTACTATGGAATAATAATAAATCATTTTATCATTGTATGGTTCTGGAAGTTTTGAAATTAGTGATCCAGTTGAATCTAGCTCTAGTACTACACAACTTCACAATTTATCGTAAATTTGATAGCTGCTTATCTCCAAACAGTATTGAGTTTCGTGCATATTTGAACACACAGATTGGACAAATATTCCAGGTTCTTGATTCTAATCTACTATTAAATCGCTATTGTTGTCTCCTTGTTTGAGTGGATATAAGTAACTCAAATTCATTTGCTGGTCAAACCTCGAGTTTCATTTGTCTCGAATATAATCATTAGATTTTCGGGTTTTAATTTGTTGTATTAATATGTTAAAATGTTGGGGACCACAACAATGTATGTATTGTGTTAAACCGGACTATACTTACCAAATAAAAATTTAGCTTAATAAAAGAGTAATAATGCATGTATAATAACAATATAATTGATAATTGTATAATCAGGTTGATTCGTTAGCATGTGCGCAGATGTATTGCGAACATACATGCATTAGTAAAATTATGACAAGAAAAAGTACACATTAGTTTACATGTTTGCATCTCCTCGTAGATTTCAACTGCATTATCTGGAACTATATCGTTGTCCTAAATAAGGATTATGTACATGCCTACTAACTTCAGTAATATCTGCTGGAACGTTATCCGCTTTGGGTTAATTACGCCTAGTTTCAAATCTGTTTTTCCAATTACTCGAATGTCACCTAACTTACATATTTACTAGATAATTGAACGTTTGATTTAATATGATTCTGTAATAAGCAGAGGGCGGATATGTATGTATTTCTAACTTTTTCATATCAAATCAAATCGTACTATCATCCCATCGAAGCGTGATCTCAAAAATTCAAACATTGTTTTCCATATTTCACATATTTTAGGGTTTTCGTACATATACATATTTTCATACATATTTTGAGTTTTTTTCGTACATGCACATATTTTCCTACATATTCGAGCCTTTTTCTAAAAATAAATATTTGAATACATATTTCGAGGTTTTTTATGTGAAAATATTTTTCTTTATTCAGAAATTAAAGTTTTGTCAAAATTAGATTTTCATGATGATCATGATGTTAAATTAATATGAACTACTAGCAAATCCAGTTTGCCCATTTTGCAAGTCAAAAAATTACCCCTGAAAATCTTCGAATGTAACTAATGTCGCATTATGGGTCATTAGATGAAGATTAAAATGATATATTTAATAATTCGTTGATAAGAGTGTTAAAAAGTTGAAAGGTTTGGACAATTAAATTTAAATACAGTAGAAAATTGCAATAGAAAAATATGTTTTATGTGCATATTTTCGTGTTTTTTAAGCACATATTACATACATATTTTGAGGAATTTAAGTACATACATATCCGCCCTATGGTAATAAGTTATAATTTTGCGGTTTATGTTCACATATGTATATATAATACTTATATCTTAAATACGAACATGTTTAATCAAAGTGTTAAATATTAATGTTATACAATTGGATTTAACATGATAAATGACAATAAATAAATGTGATATGATAAATATTTCATAAATAAAGCTTCGTTGCACTATGAAAGTTCGCTCTTTTCAAATTTATTTCCCTTATGGTTTATAAAGTGTGGCACAAATCTAAACTCATTTTTCCATAAAGCAGTACATTCTAAATAAAAATAAGTAAAATTTACTCAAGGTTGGGTTGGTTTCATGAAAATGGTACCTTACACTAAGAATTGCATCAATTTGAGATGTGTTGGAGAGAAGCATGTCTTATTTCTAATGTTTATGATAGCATGAATATGTAATACCCACATTATTATATGTACATACATACATAAGTCATGAAATAGGTAGGCGTGAAATTTTAAAATTTTACATCCCAGACATTGACAAGTGTGCAAATTTCTGGTGACGCTTTTACAAAAAATGAATCTATATTATAAGAGGGAATGTCTGTTGGCAACGGAAGTGAAAGTAAAATTTTCCGTCCCAAAATTCTGTTCGTTAAGGAAGTGAAAGTGAGGAAAGTGGAGTTTCGAGTGGCGCAAAAATTCAAAATGAATTAAATTCAAAACATGTTTTAAACGTTGGAGGAGGGGTGTCATATGTTTTAAAAGGGTCATTATCTAATGGTATGGTGGTTATCTGACGGTAATCGTCTTCGTGTGATTGTCTAAGGGTGGGGGTACGTGAGGGGTTATCTTTGATGTGCGCGATTATCTTAATTTGGGGGAAGTTATCTGTGGGTGGAGTTATCAGAAGGTGGTTATCTTGATGCATAGTTATCTTGGTGGGTAGTTCTTTTGATGGAAGGTTATCTTGGTGGGTGGTTGTCTTGGTGGGTGGTTATCTTGGGGGGTTATCTTGGTGGGGGGTTATCTTGGTGGGGGGTTATCTTGGTGGGTGGTTACCTTGGTGAGTGGTTATTTTGGTGGGTGGTTATCTTTATCGATGGTTATCTTGGTAGTACATAGTTATCTATGGGTGGTTATTCTGGTTATCTGTGGTTGGTTAAAGGTGTTATCCGAAAATTGGTTATCAAGCTCTTGAATATGCTTTTGCACTTCGTAGTTCCAAGTCGAAGTGCAAGTCGAAGTGCAAAGTGAAGTGCAATTGCATTTCACGTCATCTTGCACTTCGACTCTTGCACTTCGTAGTTTCAAGTCGAAGTGCAAGTCGAAGTGCAAAGTGAAGTGCAATTGCATTTCACGTCATCTTGCACTTCGACTCTTGCACTTCGTAGTTTCAAGTCGAAGTGCAAGTCGAAGTACAAAGTGAAGTGCAATTGCATTTCACGTCATCTTGCACTTCGACTCTTGCACTTCGTAGTTTCAAGTCGAAGTGCAAGTCGACTTGCAAGACTACATTCGGATAGATTAGACTATTGCAAGATCATATGCAATGCAATAGCAAGTCATCGTGCACTTCGAATTAAAGTTGCCACCACAAGACGTATTGCAACAATCGACGTGAAATGCAATAGTAAGTCGTCTAGGAATACGACCGGCACTTCAACATGATGACAGCTTGATAGTGTATTTACTGAGTTGCTGGGATTATTTGGATGCTGCGCTTACTGGACCGTAGCGTTTTATGGGATAAAGGGTTTACTGGTGCTTTGTGGTGGTTTACTTGGCTTACGACTTAGATAAGACGTATTGCAAGAAACGACTCGCAAGATGATTTGAAATTCAATAGCAAGACGACTTATAAGTCGTCTTGCAACACGATTGACAATTAAACCAACACGACAAGTTGTATTGCAAGTCGTATTGAAATGCAAGAGCATCTCGATGCGACTGACAATTCGTATTATACAAGGCAAGTCGTATTGAAATACATAGCAAGAGAGGTTGCAATACGAGAGGCAATTCAACGCTGGGCTGGTGAGTTTACTACCCTGCTGAACTTACTGGGCTGATGGGTTTACTTGGCTGGTGGGTTTACTTGGCTTATACATATGCTTACTGGCTTGAGGTGTGTACAGATGGGTTTACTAGGTATATGCTGATACAATAAATAGATAGTATAAAAGTACATTTGAACATCGATTACCACCACTAATCACCATTATGATTCTTTCTTGATGTGCTATAGTAATTACGCAAATTATCTTAATTTAATTTACTTCCGTTGCTGACAGGCATTCGAAGTGTGAAATTCATGGCCCGGCGAAGGCGGGCTTAATAGCTAGTACTTATATGCAATCAACACATTCAAATACCGTATATTCAAATACATGTATATACATACCAGAAAGTCAGTAATATGCATGTTCATGATGAATTTCTAACACAAACAGATATTCGTTTTCATAATGTTTATGCATGCGTGTGAATACATTACATATTTAAATATATATGTGCGGTGTGCGGAAGACTCCAGCCCACGGACCCCAGCCCGTGGGAGTCCAGCCCACCATTTCCAGCCCGTGATTAACTCCAGCCCGCGATCTCCAGCCCACCAACTCCAGCCGTTAATTATCTCCAGCCGTAATTATTTCCAGCCCATAAATATCTCCTGCCCGTGTATAAAAACCTATCCGTACAGCATTGCTTAGCTCGAACCAGGATTTATTAGAAAATTCAAGTTTCTTAAAATTTTCTTTTCAAAAATTTTGAAATTCAACCCTCCTATATTCTAATTTGCAATTTATTTTTCGACTCCATACTAAATTTGAGCTGAATGTATAAACTCTTAGAAATCGGTGTTGGTCACCCGTTAGTACCTCTGGTTACCTTTTGTTCATATTTGACTTCATATTATTTCATGAGAATCCACTAACTATCACCCTGCCGAATTTCAACTTCTTACGACGATTTCTAAAAATCGGTATGGTTCACCCCATAGGGTCGCTCTAGACAAAAATTTTACCAATTTCATTTCATATTCTTTTATTAGGGGTCAACAGCAGCCTCTTTGCCAAATTTCAGCTCGATTGGATTTTCTCTCCAGATGTACATAATGACTGCTTTTTGCACTATAACCCAAAACGGGGTACATGGGTGTGGCTCCCTTGCTGACGACTTGGTTTTCCAGCTTGTGTGGTGGCACAAGGACTAAGAATACTCGAAACCCCGTTTTGATATTCATTTATGTATCGGGGCAGGAGATATTTATGGGCTGGAAATAATTACGGCTGGAGATAATTAAGGGCTGGAGTTGGTGGGCTGGAGATCGCGGGCTGGAGTTAATCACGGGCTGGAAATGGTGGGCTGGACTCCCACGGGCTGGGGTCCGTGGGCTGGAAAAATCCGCAAATCTATATGTGCATACCCCCACAGAGATCATACTTCTACAGCTAGGATACACATAAATAATTCGACCACGTGTTTGTCCATGTATTTTTCCTCCCGTTTCGACGGGAACTAGAGGAAAGCGGATATTATTTTTAACGATTTAGGTCCCGTGCGGCAAGGTTGCTACTAGTTGCTAGATATGTACATAAGAACACTGCTTTTTTGGGGACACGGTGTGTTTTTATTTTGTACATTGTTTTTTTGGTACATATGTATCTACCTGATGTACAAATATGCATCCAGTCAGTACATATATACCAAATACAAATGCATGCATGAATATATTTATTTGTTCGAGGGGCTGTTAACAAACTGTGTCATTGTACATCATTTAAAATAGTTTTCCTGTTTTCCTACGTTTATAATGTTATCTTCTCCCGACGGATTTATGCAGAATGAAAAAATGATTGACTAATTGAATCGATGTCGAATTATGCGACCAGCTGTACCTCCCCATATGGCTCCTGCGTACTGCTGCATACGCTTAAAACATTTCCCACCCTAGAACTCTTCACCTCCAAAAACTTTGTAACTAAGCTTCTGTAATTTACTCTGCCCACCATGCTCGTGGGGATCGGATCGTTCGAGAAATCCGTCATTTACCACCCGTGGCAATTTATTTCGTTATGATCTCAGCATTTCTCAATTTCATGTGAATACCCAAAATAAAATTGGCGAGTAATAAATAGTTTTTATAAGGAAGAATTGTATTACATTGTTAATAAGTTCTTCTTGTGCTGTAAATTCTAGCAGAGATGTGAAGATTCGCAAGTTAAAAAATAATTCATCCAAGTGGTAAGTACATTTTGAATTTGTTGTTTTTCTCCTTGGTTAATAAATACTAATTAATTTGTGGTTAATTAACTTTTATAATTGGAGAAATTTTGAGGGTATTCATTACCTCTTAATGCATTCGTATCGTAAGATAAGTTACGATGGCTACGAGACTTTGTCATAGGATTTTGTCATTTAAAAGTACGTTACTATGATTAAGATTTTTACGAAACTTGACACCTTGATTTTTCTTTTATTTAGTAATTAATAAATTTCATACTTGCTGAGATGAGTTTGCAAAAATATTTTATACGATAATGGTGGATAATCACTAATCCCCAAATTTGACGACGATGCGTAGTACTCAATTAGTAAATTTAATTGGGTTGAAACTTATTCTATGTATTTGTGACTAAATTCATGTACAAAATGAACGGTTCACATACATAATTTCTAGTTCATGTAATAAAAGATAAGATATTCTCGTTTTTAAGTAACAACGTTGAGTCGACTGTAATTGTAAGTTGTGTCTTTTTCCAGCTGCAGAACATTGTCATGCAATTTTGCTGTCTGTTTCTACCTGCATAAATCCCACCCTTTGACAAAAATGTAAAGTTCGAATCATTTCAACAAATTATGCATTCTATTCCTTTTTAATTCTAAATTGTGTACATTTTTATTTTCCTTAGATAATAAAATCATCATGCACATATGGGAACTATTTAAAACTCTACGACACTTTTACTTGCAGCATGTGAAACACCCATACATGTTGAGATACATATATGTACATATGTATGGCGAAATTATGTAATTGGCCAACTTTTGCTCAGTAAATGATGCCCTGGAATTAAGCACCCTATGTAGGTAAGCCAATTTTATGTGGACGTTTTTTGTAGCATTATCTTGATGAGTTGAAATCTTGTGTACTACTTAAGGAAAATAGTAAAACCCTTTAGATTCGGTTTGCTGGGACACTCTGATAACGATCAAAATCGATGTTTGTTATTTGACAAAGATTTTATAAACCTGGCCTGGAAGATTTCCACGAAAAGAAATATGTATGTACATATATGCACACGTACAAAATGTGAAAACTACGATCCACTTCATCAGCTCCATCACTATCATTTCTGGACGACCCTATCCGTGATTCTTCCAGCGTCTCGTCATTCCACCCAAGATGAACTTTCAGTTCAGGTGCATCACACTAACTAAGTAAAGAAGGTATTGGAGCAAATAAAAAACGAAAGCCAGTATTCCGCAGGTCACACGAATTCTATTTTTTATGCCCACCTTTATTTGGGATTGTATGACTTGATGTTATAAAAAAACGTTATGAACATATACATACATATGTACATAAATGAGAAATTGCAGCCTAGTTTTTATGGCCTAATTTCTAAATCAATGTGAAATGATAATGCAAACAATCTATTCAAATATCCTCCTGATTTACAAACGAAAAAATGCAAACGGGAAAAGGTATATCTTGTCATGTCATTATAAAAATGTTAACCTACGAACGCGTGTAATGTTAAGAAGTGTGAGCAGTAGTTACGATCAGAGCATTATTTCATAACTATGTCATCAAATATAAATTGCGCATTGCAACCATTGATTAAAGACGTAATCTCAATTATCCCTCCAACGAGAAAGTTTCCTTCCCTGGAAACTAAAACGGGGTATATTTCAATTAAAGTGTATTGGTTGTAAATTGTTATCGGAAGGCTCATCGTTCTACGCTTGGTATTGATAATCAGGTGGTATATGGTTGACACTACTAAGCATAGAGTAAATAGTAGAAATCATGGTAAGATTATAAAGTTGAGATTGCAAAATGTCGCGTAAAGTCCCGACAAATCATGTAAAGTTGAGACAAAGCATGTAAAGGCGCGACAAATCATGTAAAGTTGAGACAAAGCATGTAACGTCGCGACAAATCATGTAAAGTTGAGACAGTTCGTGTAAAAGCAAAGCATGTCATGAAATATGAAATTTAGCCTCAGCCTTAATATATTGAAGGTTTTGATAGAGTTCTGATAAATAATGTGTTAAAATCACGTCCATGGTAATATGATGCGCTGATCATTAATGGTAAGTGCACCGACAATGAGATCGGGATCATTTTCACACGACGGAAATGACTCAACGCATTAAAAATAATGGATAAGTGGAAATGTGACCATGCTCTCTGTTGGGCGTTTCATCCAGCAATTTATTTTGTTTAAATTTTAGCAATTCAAAACTGTAATTTAAGTAGATTCTTTACTCCGGTTATAATTTTCAAAGCTGTGCCCGCAACATAGAGCTCGGCGGATATCTGGCGAAAACCTTCATATATCCCGATCAATATCAATATCTGTAATGAAATAATTGTTTCACCATCGTCCACCCTCTTCATAGTTGTACGGCTGTGAAGAAATGACTTGTTGTTACCGTTGTATGCGTAATGTTTGATAGCTGACCTTTTAACGGCTTCTTTCACTCCCTAGCCGGACGTGTGCTCCTTGTATCAGTACATCTCTTGCGAGGTCATTTCTAATACATCAAATATACATGTGCCTGCATTTATTTTATATACTTTTAAGTTGATAATGTTAATTTGCACATTTATGTATATGTACGAGTATAATATCTTCTGACATGAAAAGTATACCCCGTATAAAAATGCCTCTGTCTGGTTATGCATAATCCTAAACATTCACCGTGCACAGTCGTCTTGTCATAAAAACATGTGGCATTTTATGCATAAAACTATCCCAAAAATGGCTCTATATTTTGGGCATAAATTATTGTGTACAATTGGTCATAGCATTTCTGTCCAAGGTTTTATGACAATAAAGGCTTGGATAATTATGCGCATTTTGAACCCCAAAAAAATATGCACGATTTTTCTAACCAGACTTGCCATAAAATATTAAGAAAAACATCCAGAAAAGCATCAAATTAATTTATTGGTTTATTCAAGTTCTACTATATTCATTAATTCAGAAATTATTGACAAATTGTCATTGGTGTCATACATACAAATAAATTTCTAAATTATTACTAAGCACTATCTTAGTTTTCTTACTTATACGTACGACGTTAACACTTTTTACAGAATATTTGCCTTCAGAAGTGGTACATTTTTTGGTTAAAAATATTGAAAATTGCTGATCGTCCAAATAAATAATTTTTTAAACTATAAAATATTGATTATTTGATTTAATGATATAATTAGCCCTGTTTTTAGTTGAGTTGTAGATTGTGCTATATAATTTACCGGAGACGATACAAGACTTGAATCCTAAACCTTGACAATGCGACAATCCAATTTTAATTAATTCTTTCTTTTCGCTGTCGCTAAAAAAATAAAGTTTTCCCGAACCCAGCAAAGTAGCATTTCCAATTTTAGTGGAGTTTTTTTCGAAGACGTTGATTATGAATTAAAGATTGGTAAAAATCTTTTGCTACTAAGCAGTTGAATTGTGAATCTGCTAACGTGTACATTTTTTGGGCGCACAAAATCCGTCGAGAAATTTGTGAAGGAACTTGATTCGTTCCACTGAAGCTGTTGCACAAAAAACCATTATAGTTTTCAAGTTGAAAAAGAGAATATCCCCATAAAGGACCCCAATTTTTGATACAATCTACAGCGTGAGTAAAAATATGCAAATTAAATGAACAAAAACTTTCATCATAAAGTTGTGGCATTAGCTTGCAGAATTTCCTTATCAAAGCGGTGGACTTCAATAGGTCTCCTTCAGTGATGGAATCTTGGTTTAAAATTGAAAGAGCACGAACAAACTTGGAGAAATGTTTTAGAAAACAATTGGGTAGTATTCCATTCAATATTGGGACTGCTAAAAGAATCCAATTTTTCCATTCGTTTGCTTTCCAAAACTTAATTTCGCTAATGGCTCGTACAATGCGCTGACATTCCGCAGGAATCTTGCATTTTGAAATTCTACCATTAATTTCGTCGAGCTTATTGCCGATATAATAAGGCTTTTTATTGCTCTTTGAATCCGTCCAGGCAAACAGCATCGTTCTTGCAATTCCCAGCAGGGCAGTATGCATATAATCAAAAACGAATCCTTTGACAATATCAAACTTTGGAAGACACAGAAGCTTCGATGCAGATTTAATTCCATAATGCGATGAAGTTGGATAATTACTGTAAAGTTTTTCTCTTAATTCGTTTAAATGTTGAACAAATAAGGTGTGATTTCTAAATTCAATTTTTTCAGACGAGTCAAATATCCACTTGTGGCTTCTTTCAGATATTTTGTAATTTCTTCCTTTACTTAAACACCATGGACAACTGTATGCTCCATTGAATTGATTTATTCCTTGAATTTGACACCTCGCTACAGAATCCGCTGCTAACATTGGAAAGTAAACTTTGCTTTTAAGGGGTTGGTCTTTATATTTCCATGAGATACCATTATTTGCTAAGTTCAAAGCCTGTTCCACAAATCTTCCGAGAAACGTGTCGAAGTTAGGTTTTTTTTGTCCAAACCAAAGCGCAGCTAAAACTGTATATTTTCTTCGTAAACGGTAATCCAGTTCGTTTATTGATAGCAATATTGGCCAAATACTGAATTTCGAAGAGTTGAATATTGCGACTCCGTCCGTATTAACGCAGCATGTAATATCATGTTTCTGTAAGTTCAGACTTTTGTACATTTCACCATCCAAAATTGAGGAATATGACGATGGCGTTGGACTTGATCTTTTTTTAATATTTTTCATCAGGGACTTCTGTACATCTTGAATTTGAAGTACTTGTTTAATCGATTCTGCAACATCAAAAGAAATGAAGAAGTCCCCGTCATGAATTGCACTTTTTTGGGACACTTCTTCTTTACATAATGAACATTCAGTATGATTTTGTTTGATGACTTCTCCGCAATGTTTACAGTAGGGAATTTTTTGAGCTGCGTTCAGCTTTGTTCCAAGGGACTTTTCTAGTAAATATACCGATGTCGGGATAGATTCACCATTAGGCAAATGGAAGTTGATAAGTGTAAGCAGATCATGTAATAATGTCTTGTTTACATTATGTCGTAAAGCCATGGCAAATATAAGCAAGGAGCTTTCCATCTTTGAGATTCTGGCCCCTGAATATATTGGAGTTGCGCTCTAAAATATTATAGTAAACGAAATTAAAATTTCATGGTAATGAAGGCAAGTTGGTAACTTGTGTATTTGTAATACCTGGCTATCATCAAAATTTTCTCCTTCACTGGAACACTCAGACGAAGTAGCATCATTGTCAGGTAAATCGACATTATCATTCTGCGCATTTCCACCTGAAAAATTTTCCTCACTTCTAATTTCAGAAGATTCAGTTTGTGACCTTGATCCTCCCACGAACGCCAATTTCTAAAGGTAAATATAAGGAATAGTTTTAGCCAACGAAGTTATTTCAAAAGAATTTTGTTTATTTCTACCTTTAAATTGATTCGATGCCTTGTTCGTTGAGGAATTCGTCGTTCGCCAACTCCTTGCGGTGAAAAGTAAGATTTATAATTTGTAGACCTTGACATTATTTTACGGTTTTGATAAGTTAATTGGATAAGATAAACTTATTTTATTTATTTCGCACTAATGTGATGCTAAATGCTGCCCAATGAATACGAGTGGAGCGAGCAGTTGGGTTCATTCTCAAATTCTTCCCACATGCTCTTCCTATCTTCTCTTAAAATATTTATAAATTTTTAAACAAAATCTAGTTTATTTCAAAATGAAATATTTATTAGTTGAATGGGTTAAAGATATTCCGAAGCAATATTCAGTTGTGAGCTTGGACCAATTAGTCGACAATAGTCATCGTTGTCAACCAGAACAAACTGTTGGTAAAATTGTTCAGATCGTATGGACGAGAGGAAAGATATATCCAGGACTAGTGCTGAAAATAGGTAAATTATTGTTTCATAATATATGCATATACATATATCTTGGTTAAGTGAACTCTTCGTTTAATGTTGTGCAACATTTTAATAGGTGATGAAGAGGGTAACCTGTCAGAAGAAGCAGATGGCTTAGCAGAAGCAGCTGCAAAAAATCTAACCAATCGGAAGACGGCGACTGGTGGGAAGAAGAAAGGTAAAGATATGCATGGCATCAATATTTGCTTACGTTAATGATTCGATGCTTAAATAATTGTTCTTTTATATTTTAGGTAAAAAACGTATAAATGAAGAAACCGCCGTAAAAATTGACCAAGTGCTAGCTGGAATTGAAGAAAGAGAAAGAATCGGAAACCAAATCGAAGGCGAGCCCCCAATGGAAATTGAGGAGAATGAAAACACCAATGGTATAGTCAACGAGAATGCTAGTACGGATAACAATCTGGTGGATGATTATAAAGGTGTGCACTTTTATTTCATAGTAAATTTTTTTTATAACTAATAATATAATTGTCTTTATGATTTTAAGAAAAGTATTTTGCTCTAAAAATTAAGTTTAAGAGGCTCAAAGTCAAATACAGAGACCTGAAGCAACGAATTCCAGAAACTAATGAGGTATGGTGCTTAATTGCATTTAATTGTGTAGAGATATTTCAAACCCGTTATTTTGACATATTGTGTTATTAGGTGGAACTGTATCCTGAAAGTGGCGTTACCCTCGCTTCATCAGATTTGGCTTCAACTAAAATGGCGTCGCCGAAGCCAACGATACAGGCGAGAAATTTATTCCGTCGACTTTTTTCAGCAGCCGAGCTATCAGGCCACTCGCTTCAGGGGAAAAAATGCAATGCAAATCAGGACAAAGCAACGCTGCCAGCAATTGACTCTGTCAGACGGGACGCAGTAATAAGTATGTTTGGGAATTAATTAATTACATATGAAAACGATTTAACTTAAAAAAAATTGTAATTATTTTGGTGCTTTTCCAGACTTTATCTTAAAAGAAGAGGGATTCGACGGACCTCCAGCAACAGGAAATCTTGCTGCGGATAAAATATTTTTGAAGTCGAAAAATACCACCAGGAAGGAAATTGTGAAATCTCTCTCCGAATTTCTTCGTGAGGAAAAAGCTGGTAAATCTTAACTAATGAGGACAAAAATTGTTTACAAAAATTTTCTGAAGCCTAAAATAAAGAAAATTTTTATCTCAAATTTTTTATGCCAAATTTTTTCGCCATGAAAAGCAGCCAAATTACGACATATTCCTTTTATGCATAAAATATTGGACATAAACACTGGCCATAATTAATTATGCATAATTACTTGGGTCAAAATACTTTCTGCATAATATATTTGCCATAAAAACCAGCCAATTTACGACACGCGTTACTAACATAAAATGCCACAATTTTTATGCATAAAATGAGGTAAAATTTTTATACGGGACAAACCTAGCTTTGAGGTTTGTGTTTTCAGTGTGATTAAGGATTAATTTCATGGCTCGATTTTTTCAAACTGTTTTCGATTGCAGCCAACAGCACAAACTTATGCCAGAAATTTGCCTGAATAGGTACCTATATCAGATAAGGCAAACAAGAATACCATCGGACATTAAATATGGGTATAAAGAATGTCACTATCCTTATTTAATGATAAATGCAAATTCTTGTCTTTAAATTTGTCAATTTTGCTAGAGTTACTTATCATAAGGTGATTTGCATTACTTACTATTATATTATATATTCCTATTTAGTAATTATATCTGCAATATCAACCTTGATGAAAATTTGTAACTATAAAGATTAAATAAACTTCAGTACCTAAATATGTGCATATGTACATCCTATAATCCAACAATGTTCGCTTAATATTTTGAATGTTTACACTATCAAATATTATGTTATTAGGATGAATCAGCTTACATGTACGAATAGAGTGAACTTGACAATGTCAAGTTGACACACAATTATATATAATATACATACATAGTATATTATACTACAAATTAGAGATATTTTATTTAATGCCCATCATAGATGTACGCATTTTTCCAACATTTTTTAATTTTCCTGTAAAACTTGACATTTACATGAAACCTAAATTCATTGCCATTGTGCGACAATTCACAGAAAACAATGATTTCTAAACGTTAGGCCATTTAGAATACTCGAATGTTTTTTTATAATTCTAAATACTTTTAATATGTAGTCCCTACTACGGTGATAACAAGTTATTCTTTAATATGTAACTTATGTTAAACATAAAAATGGCTATTTAAAAATTCAAGTAATCCAAGTTGAGTAGAATGTCGTTGGATTTTTTTGGTTTCATTAATACATGATGGTCCATTAAGGCAAAAATAAACCGTCGTAAACGCACATAAGGAAGTAGCTTCAGACGTACTTCACCGCAACCACTCCCACGACATCGAGGGAACACTCAATTTCACTGTATTTCATCCATTGATTCAATTTTTTGAAGAATCTCATTTTGCCCCAACCACACCCACTGGCGCCCAGGGGGTGTGGCACAACGGGGGAACACAAAATTTCACCCTATTTCATCCATAGATTTAATTTTTTGAAAAATCTCATTGTCCCCCAACCACACCCCCTGGCGCCAAGGGGGTGTGGCACAACTCGGGAGCACAAAATTTAACTCTATATCATGTGTAGATTAAATTGCACTAAGAATCTCATTTTGCCCCGACCACACCCCCTGGCGCTGGTGGGTGTGGTCCGGTTGACCCCTAAAGTTGATAGGATCCCCCCCTGGGGTCCTATGTATGATGGCGAAACCCGATTTCGATTATCTCGATCCGTTCTCCCGTTATCCTGCTGACATACGGACAGACAGACAGACAAAGTCTTCGCATAAAGTAGCTGAAGCTACTTAATAAAGTCCACTTACGCGTTTCACATTATGTTTTCTTAGTTTGTTCTTTAAGAAACGATGGAAAATATACTGCACTTTCTTACAATAATTAAGCGAATTTAATTGGTTTAAATTACAAAACATTCATTCAATATTAAGTAGCTTCAGCTACTTTCTGTGGAGACTTTGTCCGTCTGTCCGTCTGTCAGCAGGATAACGGGGGAACGGATCGAGATAATCGAAATCGGTTTGCGCCATCATACATAGCACCCTAGGGGGAGGATCCTATCAACTTTTGGGGCCAATCTGACCACACCCCTGGACGATAGGGGGTGTGGTTGGGGCAAAATGAGATTTTTCCAAAAATTGAATCTATGCATGAAATAGAGTGAAATTTTGTGTTCCCCCGTTGTGCCACACCCTCTGGGAGCCAGGGGGTGTGGTTGGGGCAAAATGAGATTTTAGCAAAAATTGAATCTATAGATGAAATACAGCGAAATTAAGTATTTCTGTGATGTCGTGGGAGTTGTTGGGGTGAAGTGAGTCTGAAGCTACTTCCGTATGTGCGTTTACGACGGTTTATTATTTATTTCACTTATTATCATTGCATACACATTACACAAATTACACATCAGAAATGCTGACTATAAACGAGTCGTAGATTAAAAATCCCATACATAATAATTTGAATTGATGTGTATTATCTGTTCAATTTTAATCGTTGTGGGAGATTTTGAGTGGGAACGGTGGGAACATTTTTTAAGGATTGTATTTGAAATCCATGTGACTTGCGGTCGACGACGGTTATACATATGTGTGTTGATTTGTTTTTACTCAAATCGATGTGATTGGCGACGGTTGTGTAGATAAGTAGAGGGGTCGCCCCGGGAAGTGGTGGTGTGAAATTTGTCCTTGAAAATGGTCAAAACATGATTCCAAAAATGCCAAAATGATGAAGAATATTCGAAATATATCTATCGTGAGATATCCGCAAACAGCGACGACCTAAGTCCATTGTCCATCTTGTATTTAACTATTTTTATCACGCCCGCCATTAATGTTTTTCCGAAAGACTTTGCAACTTCATTGTTAGTTTTCTCAGACCGGAACTTAAATTTTTTTAAAGTATCGCCTGTTTCACAAACCTCGAAGTATTTCTTCTTGGATGAAGTCCAAATTCTAATTTTGGGGTGAAGATGATGGACGTTTGAGAGACCTTCATCTTCCAACCCCAAACTGACATTTTTGTCAATTTCTTCCTTCGCAGATATTGCGTGCTGAATGATGGCAAAGTTCGGGCCAAAATATTACATTTTATGTTTTTGATACTCCTTGATGGAAGGAATCAGACGGTCCGTCTCGCATTTCTGAAAATAATCCTGTACGCCCACAAAGCCCCTTTGAACTTAAGGGTCCCAAAAATATCCAAATTGGACCAACGCCGACCAAATCTGGGATATCTTTAGAAATTTCCAAAAAAAATTTATTTCTCTTCGGTTCTCAGTTTAGAGATATATTTCCCATGAAAAAAATTCCTTCCCGGAATTTCTGTCAAGTTTTTGAAGATGTAGGACTCGTCGCCAGTGACCAACTATTTTGGTGAAATTTTGTTGGAAGGTTTGGGAAGCCTTGCGTTCACCGTTTTTTCTTGACCTTTCGTATGTTTTGTTGCAGATCTTTTTGCATACGCTTTGACCCACAAGTTATGGGCCTTAATATGATACACATAGTTTCTATTAATTATTGACTTCATGGCCGCATCAGGCACGAAGGTAGATGGATACTTTTCAAAAAAAGATTCAATCATTTTTCACCTTCAAGGGGTAGATATGATAGGTTTTTCGCAAGCTGATTATTTGAAGTTTACATTTTTGGATTCTCCATACTTTTTTATGTATATCTTAATTTTTGCACGGCCACCCCCTTCTCTGTTGAAATGTGGCAAAGACTTCTTCGGGGCCTTGTAACTCGAATTTTGGTACTTAACATCTCTGAAACCATTGTTTACTACCCTGCTACTAATTACAAACTGATCACCACATCCCGGGGCGACCCCTCTATGTTGATGTAACTCAAATATGGTTGTCATATGAGAGGCTTCGGTAACTTAGTGTTGAGATGATAGTTATGTATTTACATATCAGGAGCATTGTATTGTGATAAGAACTTATCCAACACTTGTAAGTACTGTTGAGCTTGACTAAAACCTACGACTCTCGCAAAGTATATATTTATTTACAAAAGGTTAACGTCCGGTAACAGCCTCTTACCGTTTGCCTCATCTCCTATTTGCTTCATTCTATAGCCAAATGTTCTACTTCCTTCACAGTTTACAAAGTCATAACGAATAAACCACCAGTCGAAAGGGTTAAAAATAATACTCACCCTCGTTGATTATTAAATTCTTATAAAGATACACGTTTGTAGTTTCATTTTAAAAATGGAAGACATCACGAGCGCCGCAGGTATGCACGCAGTTCTAAAAAATGCAAGGTGAAACTTTGGCTAAATTTTAGTAATGGTTAAGGTAATTTTTGCTGGGTGGAGGTTTGAAGAAAAATTACAATTTGCACATTTAAGTTGTACTTCTTTAATTAAAGATGGCTTAGCACAACTTGACGTATCTAGTGTCGTGAATTGCTCTTGCGCCACACCCACCCCTTCAGGCCAATTCATTCCTATAACCTTGACGACCCAGTTAGGGTCCACACCTACCGCAGTCTCTGTCGCTAAAACGTCAATCACTCCTTCTTCTATTGATTCGACCACACCCACCCCGGCCGATGCATCAGTCCCTCCCGCTCCTAACATGGACTTAGAAGCTGGAGATTCAACTGGAACTGGAGGTATGTAATCATAAACGCGGGATTAATATTATTACGAGAACAGAGTTAATTATAATAATTCCTATCTCACAAATTTCTTAAAACTGATCATTATTAACGTTTCTTCCACGACGTAGTTGTTTCAAAAATATTTCGCAGGAAAAATACGGCGCGATATCTTTTCATCATGCTTTATTTTCCCAAAAGTCATTTGTTTTTTGTTTATGACAGAAAGTGGGGGGACACGCATTCACTATGTACCATATTGCATTTATTGTAAAATCAGTTCTATTCATGTTATTACTCAATGCACTAAAATCTAATGAAATATTTACACAGTTGGCGGGTGGCCCTGACATAACAAATCTTTTCCACGCCACTTATTTCAGTTTTTAAAGCTATTTTCTAAGACTTTGAAATCGAATTTTAAAATTCTTTCTACTGCTATTGTAGACAATTATCTGATTAATAAGATTCTCTTGAAAGTTTTCAATTTCGATGAGCCAATTTTGC